AATTAGAAAACTGTGATAGTTAGCTTTTTAGTAAAGTTTTTCAAAACCAGTTGCTCTGCCAATTAGAGATTCAGATATCTAGCAGAATTATAAATTGTCAAACCTACAATTATTTATAACTGTACTTCTGATCATATAATCAAAGAAGCTAATATCTGCCATACCAATAATAGAATTGCATGAGTTATCAAGAGTTTTGTGCCGGAAATTCTGCTGACTTTATGAAATTCAGCACATAGGAACTTGTTTTTTTCAGTAACAAATGGATGCCTTACTTTATTTTTAATTATAGTAAAGAATAAGTATAAATAAAATATCTATCGTTTTAAAATTAAAATAATGAAGTTCTTTGCATTTGTGAAAGAAATAAAAATAAAAAAATAAATCTTTATTATTTAAAAATAAAGATAGAAGAATTCTTTATTTTCAAAAATAAAGAATACAGAAAGATTTGTTCTGTCATAGATAGATAGAGAAATACCTAAAGTATAACAACTGGATATTTTAATTAATATTCTTTCTTGCCATGAATATCACTTCGACATGTGATATCATTAGAAAGTCAAGCGGGTACAAGAAAAAAAAGTATATGCAAAACAGTTTTCTGTATATTTCATTTCCANTGTCGTACCTTTTTGTGAGCTACTTGGTGAAAAATTAAAGATTAGATTCTCATAGAAAAGATTTCTTCATTATTTATTTTATCTTTACTTTCTATAAAGGTAAATAAGAACAAATCTATATTGTTATTTTGTAAATTTGAAGATTTCATTTATCTTCATTTTTTAAATAATAGTTTCTTTTTATTTATTTTTATTTTTGAAAGATAAAAAAATTTTTAATCTTTATTTAAAAAAACTTAAAGAATTTACTGGTGTTTATTTTATAAATATAAAAATTGTACTTATATTTATTTCATAAAGTAAAGAAAACGTAACCCTAGTAAAAAAAACATTTTTTTGCAACTAAAATTACTTTTTTCTTAATAAAAGTTTCTTTTTTCTAGTGAAAAACCTGATATTCCACGGGATTAAGTAACTAAAAGCATCTGAGAATATCATTGTTTTATCGAAGCTTAAAATCTTGCAATAGATATACTCAGTTTAGAAGTATTATTCTAACCTGTATATACCCTGTGACGGTCTCTGCTCTCTAGTAATCAATTCTACCCACATTTCTATACTATCGTCATTCTGTGATGGCATTTCATCTTTTTTTCACTTTCATTTCTTATTTTCTTCTAGCCTTGCATTCAATTGTCCTTCTTCATGCTTTATGTTTCATTTCAATCGATAATTTCTTATTTTGACATATTTTTCTCATGTGATTCAGTAAATCGTTTCTTCTTTTATGTAGCTAGTAAGTATGCCACTTAGTTAATAGATAGATATTCTTATATCTTCTAAAATCATAGAAATTCTGTATTCCTAATGAAATGAGTGAGAATAATTGATATCAATTAACTTTGTCTGCTGTTCTTTTTTGTCATCCTATTAAAAAAAAAGACGATAAATGTTGTTCGTCTGTAAAATGGTTCGTTCACAGTATCGATAATTATAAAGGCACGGATTATAATAATGCAGGATTGTCAGCCATTTCTAAACGCATGTAGATTAGTTTTAAATAAAGTATTGAAATAAAATCAATCTTATCTATTTATGAGTCACTTCTTGTACACATTTACATATTTCTAAACATTCGAGTTTTTAAATTAAGTGATCTATTTTATAAAAAAACCAACAATTCTATACGTCAAACTTCGTTGACAATGACTATTGTGAATTCTTAGTTATTTCAGTTTCATACCTATAATGTATCGTTGTTGTATAGATTAGATTTTATTTTCTGTTAATCTATTTCAAACTATAGCATTAGAATTCTCTCGTAATTCATTTAACTTTTTGAATTTAAATTACGGAAAATATTTCATTGCATAGTTTGAAATAGATTAACAGAGAATAAGACCTAATCTATACAACAGCGATGCAAGATAAGAAGAAAACTGAAACAACTAAGATATAATCATAATCATCTCTCAATGAACCTTGAAATATAGAATCGTTGCTGCTTCATTATATAGATCATTTAATAATAAACTTGAGCGTTTAAAAGTGCGTTCATAACACGTAACAATATTTAACGTCGTAAAAACGCATCGATGTATCCAATGAAAATAACACTATAAAATTGCATATTAGTACAAATTATTATGGGTTAGAATTTGAAACGATTAAAAATTCGTTTTCAAGTTTAAACGCGTTCGTAACGCATTAAAATGTGCGGCTTTTACACTTTGGAACCATGTTCGATTTATGAGCATTTTAACGCGTTTTTTTATCGATTTCGTATGACTGACTCGTTTATTATGTAACAATGTGCAATATATCACTTGCACAATTTTCTATAAAACTGTTTTAAAATTTTCGAAATGAAACATGTTACAGCCCATGTGCAAACAGTTGTCGAGATGATAAAAATTGTAACCTAGAAATACCTAATATTAATCAATTTTGGTGTTGGAAAATATTTTATTATTAACATAAAACTAAAGCTAATCTTTCCAAAAAGGTACTATCGATTTCGATAGATTAATAAAGTTTTGAATAGCCTATTCGCTCATTTATTTGGGTTCATTATTGTTCAGTGTAGTTACGAGTCAACGTTATATAATGAATAAATGAAGTAATGCAACTGATTTGAAGATATGTTGACCTGTTGTTTTCAACGAACTGCAGTGAAATTACAATCAAACAATAAAAAATACAACAATTATGAGGTGCCCAAATTCAAAATTAAAGCAGAATGTTTTACTTTTTCTTATATGTGGTTAGATAGAGCATGACAAACTAACTAAGCATATAGATGCTTTCATTTTTTTGGAATGAGTTTTTAAGAGAAAAATTTCACTAGTTTCGATGATCTATTTTCTTGAATAAATAGATCTATTTTTTTGTTTGCTTCATATTTCAAAATTGTTTGTTTCAAATTCGATGTGAAAAAATGACTCCAAAAAAGGCATTTATAAATGATTTTTTTAGATTCAATTTTCCACACTGAATCTGAAACAAACAGTTTTACAATTCGAAACAAGAAAAAAGATTGAAATATTTGCCAGAAAAAGTAAGTCATTGGAAGAAACTGAAATTTTCCTTTAAAAAGTCATTCCAAGAAAACTGAAAACATCTATATTCTCGATCATTGCATCAAGCTCTATCGAATCATGCTAAAAAAGAAAAAAAACTCTACTGTAGTTGTCCATTGTCGACATAACTTCATATCAGCTACATTGCATCATTTCTTCATTATTTGTTTTTTGCAGAAAAAAGAAAAAAAACGTGAAATATGTATCTTAGAATGTTATAGCAGAAATTTTTAGACAGTAGAAATGTTTGAGAAGCTAAAGTAATTGTTTTGTAGTATTCAGCTGAAATACTACGCGGATAAAGTTTGTAGATGATGTCATGAAGTATCTGCGCAAAAAAAACAACGCTTGGTATTTTACAAGAGTTTAAAGTGAAATACAGGAGAGAAAAATAGATGTAAAACTTTTATCTCACACATTATTTATTGTTATTACGATTGAAAATAATTTAATTTCGACTTTTAAGGATGAATACTCAACGACGGATAAGAAGATGCATAAATCGAAACAGAAACAAAAAGCACTACAAGAGCGTGTCGACAGCTCGGATCAGCCAACAGTGATCATGTTAGATGCTATCGACAAGAATCACCAAGGACGCATGGCTCAAAAAGACATCAATATGGAAAATGACCATGTAGTAACACTGCGCGAGGATCACGAGGCACAATGTGAAAGAAAAGTCATGCACGATGATAGCAAGGTTGGAAGTGAAGTATCATATGTATCTGACGCACAAAAAGCGAGTTTGACCGAAGAACAACCTGATAAGAATCAAAGAGTAGAAGTAATGAAGGATGGTCGTGTGGTGATTGATCAACAAATAAGTGGAAGATGTCAGGTTGTAGGAGATCTTGCTGTACACCAAAACCAGCAAATTCCCAATGAAATGAATGAGATTGATACGGATTTTTCTCCGATTGTTGGTTATGCTGAGGAGCCTTTATTACCACTTCCTGAAGCATGTGCTCCATTGATCAATATTCTTCATGATTTATCAGTCTATGTACAGCTGGCACTAGACGAAACACCCGAAAGTCCATCCGATGGCTTGACAGTTGATGAGAGCGCTGCGATTCGACTATACACGATCGAATGGGAAGGACCACATCGAAGCTTATATTCAATGCTCAATTACACTCTGAAAAACGCCAATCGTGAAGAACTTCGACCTTATTTTAAGTATATGAAACTATTTTTGACAGCACTTGTCAAACTTCCGTGTGTTCCACCATTGACTGTTTGGCGAGGAGTTACGAAAAATTTGAGTGCAGAATTTCCACCTGGTACTCCAGTGACATGGTGGTCATTTTCTTCATGTACGATATCGCTATCTGTATTGAAGAATAATATGTATTTGGGTGATACAGGTGCGCGAACGCTATTTTCTGTTGAAGCCATCAATGGACGAACAATACGTGCCCATTCACATTTCGTTACAGAAGAAGAAATTCTTCTTCTACCCGGTACTCATATGATAGTACAATCACAATTGAGTCCAGCATCTGATCTCTATATCATTCATTTGAAACAAGTCATACCAGAACAAACCTTACTGGAGCCTCCTTTCGAAGGTAACTTCCAAGATTTCAGGTTCATATTCTAAATGTCAAACTTTATCTTTTTTAGGTGCACACTTATATCCAGAAGCAAAGTGAGTTTTATTTTGTGTTTATCTAAACGTGTGTCCGATATGAAGGCTTCTAATTATATTTTTCAGACCTTCTTGGTATAAAAAGAAGCGATTTGTTGTGCCACTGTGTTTATTGATAATATTATCGATTGCAGGAATCATTATTGGGTCTGTTCTTGGGTCACGAAAACAAGCTCACACGTCAAGTATGCTTTTTCTTCGATATTTCTTCCATTTACATTCAAAAGAATATCCCATACTATACCTAGTGTCAGTTTTATTGAGCGTACATCGAAAGACACTCGGTGAAATATATATAAATCAACTGAACTGGTATTCAATTCTTACAGAAGTTCATCTTGACAAGCTCGGAAGAAATTCTAATAATTACTAAAAGCAAAGTTCAAGTCGAATCCGAAAACTATCATTTGTATTGGATAAGTGATAAATATATGAGGAAGCTTAAATCACACTTAACCATTCAAATTCTAGATATATACAAAAACTTTCTGTTATCTGAATTGCATAGACTTCATTTTCTTTCCTGAATGTTTGTAACAACCCTGGTGTCATGAAAACTATTATTATATCATAGAAAAGCGTTTCTACGTTCTGGATAGGAACATCTCGGAAAAAAATGTTCCTCTCACATGTTATAAGGAAAGTTTCTTTCATAACTCCAACTACATTATTCTGATCTACTCATATTCTAAAGTCATAGCAGGCAGTGGATATCTGAATAATTGAATTGAGGACATTAATGCCACATCTAGGACTGCCACAGTTAAGTTAACGTTGACATTAGGACGAATTCCTGACTAAGAGTGTGAAGATATTGATATAATTTTATAACAATAGCCAGAAGTGTGTATGTGTTATAAACAAAAAAAAATAAGACAGCACTTTTGCTTTGTGAAAAAATTTGAATTTCAAGTTGAAATGAAGGCTGTTAGCATTATTGAAGAGTATTAACTCATCTGCACTAGTGTCATTTTTCCTTATTTTCCGTTGATGCTTTTTGAAACGCGCCAGAATCAGAGAATCCTAATTGTAAGCACTACTAGTTTGTCGTCAACAAATAAAATAGCTAATTCAATGGGAGAACGACACTCCAGAAGTTCAATCATGCTCCTGACTTGATCTACAGTACCATTTTCACGTTGAATTAATTTACACTTCTGTTTGAGAAAATACTTTTTTCGGATCAGAAAAGCTCTGAGAATGCCTAAGTTCAGTTTATCAAACGTGGCAAAAACTCCCTTATATGAGCAAGATGATTTTAGAGTCAAGTTCTTTATAATGAATAAGTACATTGTGCAAAGGTACTCACTAAATCATTTTCTCAAGAAAATGTGACGAAAATGACACCTTAAAAAATGGTCTTTAGTCATTTCGGGTTCCTATACTGTGAAAAGCTTTCGATTTTCAATCGATTTATAGTGCACCACCATCCTTCTTAGAAATGTTTTGCTAGAGATTCTTCATCATTTAACTTTTAAATGAGGGCTTGCCCAAAAATGTATGTGAGAGATTTACTCTCATATAGCTTTGACCAAGTTATGATAATGTTGAACTGATAGCTGTGCTACATTTTAATTTTTTGAGGATGAAACAGTTGTTTACGATTAGGATTTTCTGACGACAACGTGCATCTAAAAGATCGACGCAAAATAATAAACGAAAATACTAGCTCAGGAGAGTATGTTATTCTGTTCAGCTTTTTATGAAGAAGAAAGTCATAAGGAGAATCGAACCTAGAGATGTAGCCAATGAAGCTGTAAGTATGAGTGTCAGTGTGGATGTGGTTGTTGTTGTTGGAGTGGCTCTTCTCTTCACACACCCCTACCTACCCTAGTTACGCAAGTGAATGTGTGTGAACGTCGACGTTATGGATGTGGATGCTGGGCATACACACGGACAGTCGACCACTCACGTATGTTAACGTCCGACCCATTCAACACACGCATAACCTTGCCAATTGCTCCTGAATCCGCATTTGAACCAAAACTCTCCACTGCTCAGTCAATGTCCGACACCTGCGTCCATCTGCACTATTATGCATCCATACCCACCGATTATACGAGAGTTCTTTTATACGATGCTTCTGAGGTTCTCATTCACAACTCTCTTATAGAAGTTTAAAATAGTCACATATTTGTGCTATTTATGGAGGAATTTAATAGCATGTTATGGAAGAAATCGGAATTTTTGTTTGCCTTAGATGACCGTAAAATATGAAATTTTTCATGTGAGAATGTGGAAAAGATATCATATTGAGCTCAGTTTATTAGAAACTAGAGTTTTAAATACCCAGTAACAGTTGTAACAATTTTGCAGATAAGTGAAATGGAATATTATTTCCTTGAATAAGATTCGAGCTAGATGAAGTC